TTAGCTACAAAGTTTCTTTAAGTATAGTGTCAATATTATAATGTTCAACTCATACTGTACATGTAAAATACATATATATTTGTTTCTTTTTCTTGATTGCAAAATGGACATTTATTTGTAACATACAAATGTAGACGACGTTAATGGAGTTTGTCCATTGTTGGGAGTTCATTGTTTTGTAACCTGAGTTTGAATGAGCGTTGTCTGGTGTCTTCAAATGAATTGGGATTTTGGTATAATGTGAATGGGTGATTAGTTTTTTGTGTGAGGTGCCAGTTTATGTTGTGTGATTTCCTTTCAGAAATTGAGTTTACTGTACGATTTTGCATTCTCCATTTATAGAAGGCTACTGTGCGATTAATTTCTTGAATAGTTTTTTTTATAGGTTCTTCTATAATTTTGTTCTTGAGTGTTGGAATGGCTAATATATTAATGTACTCTCTATTGATTCTCAGCTTGTCAAAATTCAGCCAGTTGTGTTCTGTTATCTTAATTAGATTATCTACTATGTTGTTGTTCAAGTTGTTTGAGTGGGCTTCCACTTTTGTAAGAGTGAGTTTTAGTTGGAGTTGGTTAATTATCTGTTTGATTGTCTGTATAATTGAAAGGTAGTTTAGTTTGTGTAGGATTTTTGTTTGATCTCCTTGAAGGTGATTATTGATCATGCAGATTGCTTCTTTATTGTCTGTATTTATAGTTACTTTCTTTCCTTGTGATACCACTGTCAGAGCTGTCAGTATGGCCATTAATTCAGCTTTGTTGGATGATGGGTATAAGTCAGTGTCTGCAACAAAGTATTGTACTGGTGATATAACTGGATCTGTTATAAGCCACCCCATGCGCATTTGACCCATGATATATTTGTTGTTAAGTGAACCATCTGTATAGAAGATTATTTCAGCTGGATTTATTCTTACTAATTCAGATCGAATTTGTTTCAGTTTGTTTTTTGTTTCTGTTTTGATAATAAATACTTTGTCAATAATATTGGGTGATTCTTTTGTTGTATTGGGAAAAGAATATAGGTTCGATGGAAAACTACCAGACTTATACTTCTTTATTCATATGGAATTACCAGAACACCCTAAACACGTAGACATATCAGACCTTCCAAATAATATCACTATGCCAATTACTAGAAAAGAAGATATACAACTCTTACAGAAACACTAAAGAAAAAATATATATTTACAACCAATAAACTTTCTAAAGAATGGATTGATTTAGAAGCAGACAACAGGCCTCCTCTTCCTACAGACATAAATACAGCTAATAGAGTAGCTAATATCAATTTACCAATTAACAGAACTCAAATAATACAAACAGTCAAACAATTAAGATTGCATTACAAGTTCGACAGACTTCCAGAAGATTAGATTTTAGCCAAATACACTTTACAAGATGAACTCCCCTCAGTAGATAAAGTAATTATTGACTTAGCAAACAAAACAAAACAAACAGTAATATTTCCAATAACAGATAAAACAAAAATTAATGAAACTGTCAAAACACTTTACCGATACTACAACTTTGCACAACTCCCAAAAGAGTTTTTTCGTATCCAACAAGATACCAATAAATATACAATGGTTTTTTCTGAAAATCAATTCGCTTTATAAGTGAAATACAAAATACAAACAAAAAACAAACAATAATCAAAATTCTGACCACAGTTATTCACTTAACAAAAATACAAAAAATAAAAACAGAATTAAGACATTAAATCATTATATCACCAATAAATTATCACGAAAATATAAAGAATCTAATAAAGGAGGTTATAGCCTAACCTATACACCACCACAAACCTCAATAATGGACCACAATTATAATAATGATGAAGATAAAAATAACAATATTTGGAATTCTGATCAAAACCTCTCTTTTACCTCTCTTTTTTCTGAAATTACAGACAACTTAATAGAAGAAAATGAAGTCAATAATTCCATTAAACGGAATTAAGAAATAGAAGAATTCATATTCAATAATCAAATTAATACACCCTCTTCCATAACTGATATATCAGATTCTAACACAGACCTTTTAGAAACAAATGATAATTCTCTTATATCAGAATCAAAATTGTCAGAAATACAAAACCCTGACTTCCGAAAATTTATACAAATTGGAATATTAAATGTACAAGGCTTAAATAATATAATGACTCAATAACAAATAATAGATTTTGCAAATAATTACCAATTTGATTTACTAGACCTAACAGAAATCTGACATTCTCCACACAACCAATTCCACATATTAAAAAATAATCTTAACCAAAATCTCAATAACAAAGAATTCACATACTACTGGACAAAAGGTTCAGAAACACACAACTATGGAGTGGGAATTATGGTCGAAAAACAACTTAACAAATATGTAACTTCAATTCAAACATTTGAAAACTATGCGATAACATTAGATATGATATTTAAACGGAAAATTAAAGTAAAAATTATAACTATATACTTCCTACCAGCAAGCAGACCAGCTAACTTAGTATTGCGTACAAGACTGATGGAATGGATCAAGACAACAACGAAAAGGTTTAACTCAACTGACACTAACAGAATCATAATTCTGGAAGATTTCAACAGTGTAAATGATCCAACTATAGACAGATCTGCAACATCTAAATACAGACCAAACAAAACGGAAGGTCCCCTACTTAAATACCTTACAAATAAAAACTACATAGATACATTTCGTACAATACAAAACATTAAACTAGAAACAGATATAGAGGACATGACAAACTCATTACAATTCACATGGACTCGAAATGAATTCAAATCAAGAATAGACTAAATTTGGTTATCACCTAAAACAGCTGATACATTAATTGATGCAGATATTATAGATACTGAAGAAGAGATTGCAACAGACCACCACTGCGCCAGAGCAATATTACTTGACACATTTCGCAAATCACTTCCTTCAAATATATATAAACAAAAAACTCAGTACAGATATAATCTTAATACAGCTCAAAAAGAAAACTAGAATAAATTCACTAAAGAACTATCTAACAGAACAATCGTAACAACAAATTCTACACACACTTAATAGTAACAAATCAAATCCAATATAATACAAAGCGCAAACAAAATAATTAAATGAACTAAACGTAATAACAGTAAAACGGTATCACATAAAGCCTATCTACATAATCATATACTTATATACACAGATGTCCTTCGTATACAAAAAATATATAGAATTCTTAGAGAAATAAAAAGAAACAACAAAAACAATACAATTATAATACAATTAAGACTCAACAATCTTATTACATAACACAACAATGAATTGACATCACCTGACCTTATTATCGACCAATCAAATATAAATAACAATGCAATACCAATTAACAACAAACTATAAAGTATAAAAGAATTACTTACAATAGTCAAAAAAGCCTGCGAAATAGAAATACAAAAATACTGCAAAATTCACATAAAAACTAACATCCTAAATAGACAAACCCTCCTCACAACAAATAAAAAAGAATTGCTAAAGAAAATATTAGAGTGATATAAACCTCAAATAATTACAGAAACAGTTAAAGACCATACCGCAAATAAATTAACACTATTAACTATACGTGTTGCCCAAATTCCAAATCATTTGGGATTTGGAATGCCAAAATCCCAAATTACTAGTATTTGGGATTTGGGATTTGGGATTTCGGCAAAAAATACTAATTATAATTTGGGATTTGGGATTTGGGATTTTGGCATTTGGGATTTTGGCATTTGGATTTTGAATTTGGTGGCAGGTATACTATTAACAGACCCAACACAAATTAAAAGTCTAATATCTAAAACTTTTGTTTTATGGGGAAAAAACAATCCTACTACAACCCTGTCAATGTTACCAGAATGGAAAAAAGAATATACCCCCAAGTACACACATAATGAACAAATTTTTGCTGAGGTTATGTTACCATTCTCGGTCAGTGAAATCCAAAAGGAGATTATGAATATGTCCAACAAGAAAGCTCCTGGAGAATCAAATATACCATACGAATTTTGGAAACACCTAGACAATAACCACCTGACAGAATTATGTTCACTATTTAACAAGATCCTAGATACAAAACAAGTACCAAAAGATTGGAACCATAGTAATACGTTTCTCATTGCAAAGCTTAAACCGTAAGAAAAAGACCTTAGAATGACACGCCCCATTGCTCTATTAGAATCAGCACGCAAAATATTCACCAAATTGCTTTACCTAAGAATTACAACTACCCTCACTAATAACAAGCTGTTATCACAACTAAACTGAGCAGGACTGCTAGGAGGCTCGACGAGTGGTCCAATTCACATCATTAACAATTACCTAGAAGATGCAAGAGAATACAAAAAACCCATATGGATCCTTACACAAGACATCTTTAAAGCATTTGACTCAATTAACCACTTATTACTCCAACTAGTTCTCAAACGTATTAATATGACAGATAACCTAATTACACTAATAATGAACCTGTATACACAAAACACAACAAATGTAATTACCTTTCATGAAAAAACAGATAAATTTGTTCAATCAATTGGCATCCCACAAGGAGATACTCTCTCTCCACTCCTATGGCGAATATACTATGATCCACTCTTAACTTGGTTAGACTCCTGCACAGAAGGCTATAACTTATCAATTGAACATCACCTGTCAGTATATGTGTTGCCCAAATCCCAAATCATTTGGGATTTGGGATGCCAAAATTCCAAATTACTAGTATTTGGGATTTGGGATTT